ATTTTATTTCTTTATCATGAACAAAACAAATAGGCATGCTTACTTTAATGTGTTTTGAGTAGAAAAAAATGAATGTACTTGAACTTAAAATCCAATTACATTTTTAATATATTGCAGTAAATCTTTCCCCATTATTCATTGCGATTTAGAAGGCTCTAAAATTGCTAAAAGTAATGTGATCTGAGCCCAAACCGGACAGACCATGTTTCCCAAATGGTAATTTCTGAGTGTCCTTTTAGAAGAGGCTCCTCAGTGTGTATTTCTCTTAGATCCCTTAATACTTCTCTCCCTACCTTGTCTCCCAAATTCACCTGTCTCTATTCATTTTATTTTTAGATATATATTTTTATTGATTTCAGAGAGGGAGAGAGAGGGAGAGATAGAAACATCTATGATGAGAGAATCATTGATTGGCTGCCTCGTGCAGGCTCCCTACTGAGGATCAAACCCATAACCTAGCATGTGCCCTTGACCAGAATTAAGCCCTTCAGTTGGCAGGCCAACACTCTATTCACTGAGCCACACCATCTAGGGCTGTGTTCATTTTAAACAGGAGAAAACAAGGAACCGTATGGCCATGGCCTTATATCATTTCCCTTCAGAAGTCTTTAATTTGACACAAAGGACAACTGCTAGGACAAAAAGGTCTAACAATGGACTGAGACTTGGAGGTGAGGAGTGTATTTATAACAGTCAAAATCCTGACCACTGGCTGCTCTCAGTTTTAGCTGATGAAAAATGCTTGGCCTGTTTAGGCAATTACCCAAGTTATTGTCATTGAGAAGATCTCGATACTCTGATTAGCTGTTGCCCACCCGCTCGGCGTTCCATCCCCTGCGTCAGTGTGGGTGAGATCGGACATGTTTGTGAGCTGTCCGATGCCAGGCACAGGGCTGATGGCGCTCTCCTTTTCTCCCCTCCCGACGCGTGCCCTTAGCACAGCAGCGCCAGCGTAACATTTGATCTTCCCTGCACTTGTGAAGTCTCAACTGCATAATCAGTTTAACTACTCAGCCTTCCACTTCAGTCAAGGAGCATTTTAAAGCAGCGCTTCAACTGAACACTTCATTAGTGTAATTTAGTTAAGAAAAACAAGTCCTATTCGTTTTTTTTGCTAACAGGGCGTCCCCGTATCCTTTTCATTTCCTATCTTGTATCTTGTCTATCTGAACTTATTACAGAGCTAGAATGTGATTGCCTATTCAGAGGGAGAGGAGAACCATCCAGATTTCTAAAGCGTTTTGTGTTTCTGAGAAGAATATTACATTAGGTTACCGCATCACAGAAGAGAGGGAGCAAACACGGAAGGGCATTTCTGAAGGAGGGCATGCAGTCAGCAGAGTAGAATAAAGAAATGTCTCCTGCTTTGGCTAGAAGAGAATTCCGTTGTGTTCTGAAAAGAAAAAATAGGGAAGTGGGTGATACTTTCATTGCCTTTAGTTGTTGAAAGATACCATTGTATTTTTCTAAAGCATAATTCCACGTTATCAGATGGTAATTCATATAACTTATAATTCCACATTCTATACACTGCTCTAGTATATTCCCAATGACTTGCTTCAGTAGTCAGACCTACAGACAACAGAAATGAATGGCCATGGTTCTATCATGAGAAGCTTCACACATCCCATCCTCAGATGTCTCTTGAGAGCTGTCGGTCATGCAAGGCTGTTGTCCACATTCTTTTTAGCAGTTGCTTCCACTCCTGAAATAAATAGCTATATTTGTAAAATTTTAGCTATATTTGTAAAATTTTCACCTGCAGCAAAGAGGCAGGGGGAAAGGGGACTAAAAGGTAGTAACTTATAAACTCTGTAATTTAGTTAACCTTCTGCAAGCTTGGGTGACATGCTTGATGGTAGTAGGTGGGTGGAGCTAGAGCAGGGAGCTAAATAAATAAATAAATAGATAGATAGATAGATAGATAGATAGATAAATAAATAAATAAAGGAGGCTGCTCAATTTAGTGGCAGCGTACCGGCTTTGGGCTACATTGCTTGGGATTGAGTCCTAAAGGAACCACTTTTACTTCTGCGACCCTAGGGGAGTGACCTGGTCTTTCCTAGTCTCAGCTTTCTCATCTGTGAAATAGGGATCATTACATGAAAAATAGCAGGTTAACACACAACACAGTTCTGGATATAAAATAAACGTCGGTACAGGTAAGTGGTTGTAGAAACTAAAGCACATTTTCAAGGCACAGAGTGTCTACCTGCTTCACTCTCTGCACTGTTTCCACAGATCTTTGTCTTTAATGATGCCTATGCCTTCTCTGTTTCTTTTCAGAGTCAGCTTAAGCGATGGCAGTGATAGTGAAAGCAGTTCTGCTTCTTCGCCCCTGCATCACGAACCCCCACCGCCCTTATTAAAAACCAACAATAACCAGGTAAATCGCCAGGCTTGCACTGTTCAAGGCTACCATGGGACTGTTGTACAAAGCACATGAAACGTTTTACTCCTTCATTGTGAACAGAGTTCCTCTTGGTCTCCAATAACTGGTAATGTTCAACCTTAGAAATAAGCTTGCAGTTAGGGTTCCTATAAACTTCTGTTGTCCTGAAAAGCATGGTCCATTCAATGGGTTAATTAGATTCAAGAAGGAGAGGAGTGGTGACAAACATGTTGCCCATTTACTCTTGATTTCTATATGCTCTTGATTTCTGTGTATATTTCCCCCTTAACAGTAAGTAAGCGACTTAATGAATTAGGAAGCTAGGACCCGTGGGACTAATGGAAAGCCTGGTTCTTGTGCTATCTGACAGTAATTTATGGGTGGGAAATTAACTTTAACTGCAGGTCCTTGGTTTTCTCATCTGTACACGGGGTTGTTAATGTACCATGCTGCTTATGAGGAGGATGAGAAGTAATACATGTGAAGAGCATGAGGTAGTACCCATGACTCCTGGCACTCAGTTTGATGGCAGAGTTTGTCACTCTAGGTGCTCTGCCTCTCTGTGCTTATCCAGGGGAAGAGGACCCTCACATGGGCGTGTAGGGGATTGTTAATAAAGTGCACAGTAAATAGTGGCCATTAGCCTTGTTACAATCAAGCTGAAGGAAAGCTTATTAATTTGATAGTTTACTCAGAATATAGCTGTTTGGATACAGTCTAGGCAGGACTTTTGAAAGCCACGGTAAAGAGCTTTTCTTAAGTGATGAGGATTGGGATATTTTAGGTGCTTGCTAATATAAAGTATTTTCAAAAAATCATGAATATTGTAAAAGCCTCATTGTGCACTGAGTTGATAACTCTCATTACCGAAACTTATCCTTGTCTCTCTTTGTTTAGATTCTCAGTGACCTCTCCAATAATTGCTTAATTCAAGTTACTGTGTGAATATTATTAATTTGAAATGAAAGAGTTGTATTTTCCTGAGATTATTCTGTTTCACGGGTGTCCTACCATTTTAAATGGCCTTGCTCTTGAATTTGGATTTCTTTTTTTGTTAGGGAAAAAAATGTCATTTTCTAGCTGAAGACTTTACCTTTTTCACTTTTGTGTGAAGCATAAGCAAAGAGTTCCTAAAATGTAAAATTCCTCATTTATAATGTTTCTCTACATTTTAAAGCCCTTATGATTAAGTAGGAATACTATCAGTTACAGACTGACTGTCAAGGAGTTAGCACTTCTTTTTTGTATCCTAACTCCCTATAGTTCACGCATTATCCCATCTCCAGTGCCAACAATGCCCAGGGCCCAGCCAGCTTTTGCCTCTGACTTGGCTGCCCAGCACCACAAGTATAGCCTTCATCACCTACCAATCGGCTAACTGGGAAACTTGGAATTCTTTTATAAATTTGTAAATTTGTGCTTCAGTGTGAGCTGACAAAACAGTAGAATTTGAACGCTGAATATAATATATTTTTATATGCAATTTTACCTTCCCTAGCTCCCTTGTGTGGTGTAGGAGTAGATTTAGGCTGCTTCACGGGCATCGGAGGCAGTGCCAGGAGCGAAGAAAAGCATTCAGGTTGCTTTCCTGCACTCAGGAGGCCGCTTCAGCATCTTTCCCCGTGAGGGTTAAGTCTGTGCTTGCTAAGTAAGTGCAGCCCCAACAAACCCCTCTCTTGCCTTTCAAATCTAATAGCTGCCCATACACCCTACCTGGATGGGCAGCCTTGAGCTGAGCCTGGCTTCAGGGAAAAGTCTGAATTCTTCATCAGACTCCTGCTTTTTTTTTTTTTTTCCTTTTTTTTTTTTGCATCCTGTCTAGCAAAACAAGAACAAAAATGAATAGAATCATTTATCTAGAGAGGGTAAAAATTACCTTATCCGATTAAACAGCATAGTATTGGCTCCTTGGCATATGTTTATTCAACAAATGTAGCTTCACACATGTGAATCAATCTGTCAGGAATACTCAGTTATTCTCCATGGGCTTATAAGCATAATAAGAAAGTCCATATGCTTTCACTTTTCGCCAGTCGGGGCTAGAAAATACACATACCACAAGAGTGCGTCCCTCCTTGGATCTATCTCTTGGAGCTGAGAGCAAGAAAAGCTTTTTAAAACTCGATGTAATACTGTTTCTTAACCCCTCAAATCACCTGCAGTGGGCCAGGTGTGATGCTATCCCTTTAAATCAGTGTTCTAGAACTTCCTAAAAACCTTGTAATCTTCTTACTCGTCTTCCTTAATATCTCAGGCCTCAGAAGTGAAATAGTAAACAGTTCTTAAAAATCGAAAAGTCTATAAATTTCACCTGGAATGTCTTTCCAGCCCTATATTTGAGTGTGGGGGAGTGATTAACCGAGGTTTCACATCAAATAAAACAAACAGAAACGTGCTGGGAAGGCCTAGCGGAAATAGGAAGACTCAGTTTTCTTCTTTCATGCCCCTTTGCTGTTCTCTGCACATTGATAATGACCTCTCGGGTTCCTGTTAGTTACCAGGCAATCCTGAGCTTCCTTACCTTTCCTCAAAGTCTCCCAGGGCCGCAGGAAGAAGGAAAGTGCTAATTGAGTCAAACATTTTCTAACTATAGGGGGAGAAAAAAGTGGATAGAGAGACAGCCACATGTCAACAAAGCAAGTAATTATCCCGAGTATTGTTAGGAGCAACCAGAGATCATTAACATGAATGCCCTATCAGCAGAGAATCCATCTGCTGAATAATTGAGTTGTCAATCCTCACAAAGGGATACAGAAAAAAATAATAATCTCAAAATTTTAATTCTGAACCCGTATCCTCAGATTAAGGATAGAAGTGCAACTCACCAGAGTTCTATTTTCAGACACGGCCCTGTGTGTATATATGATGCTCTTCCTAGTCTGGGTGGCTGTTTCCCTCAGTACAATGTCATAGGGAATCTTAGTGAAGGCTGTGCTATTCGAACCAGAGATGGTTGTGTGTGTGCATGTGTGTGTGTGTGTGGTTTTGTTTGCTTGCTTTTTACTTCAACCTTCCTGATGTGAATTTAAAGCAACATCAAAATCCTAGATCCTTTTTGGCTGAGATTACGCATGGGCAGGAGGAGAGAGGGGCCTTGAAGGAAGGAAGTGATCCATGGGACCCGAGTTAATATTCAGAATATCATAAATCACCTATGCGCCTGCGAGGCAGGCTGAATGAAATTAAAGAGTCTATCCAGTTAAACTGGTTTGAAATAAGCCCCGTGGAAGACAAGGTGCTGTACTTTTATATTCTGGAGTCATTTCCTCAAAGATAAGAAATGATCATAAATAAAACAATTGTCTGCAGCACGGCTCAGCTCTCTCTGAACGGGGTTTTGACAAAGCTGTTTATTTTGGAGCGGGGAGAGATCAAAGGAGGAAGATTAACGGAGGCCTCTCTGGGCAGCCGCTCCGTAACTTGAGTCGGATCGCTGACACCCGGAGCTTTTGTTCCTGCCACTGCAGCCTCAGAAGAAAGAAACTAGGATTTCAATGTAGTTTGGCCTTCTGTGCCGTCGCACTTATGGAATGTGCAGGATGGGACCTAGGGGCCTCACAATGTCCTGTGAGTTTTCTGCTTTGAAGAGGAGGTGGTAGAACTCTCTAGGCCTAGTGAGCAAAGTTCCCTTGCCAATACTGAGTTTCTCAGTCCCTTTAACCCCTGGGTGCTGTAAGCTGGGGATGGAGGGGGAGCAGGCAGGGTGAGATATGGGAACAAAACTTAGTTTTAAAATGCACAAGGCAGGCAGGTAGGCAGGCACTCTTTCTTTCTCTTGCCTGAAATCGGCTTTGCCCAGCCCTGTATCTGAGTTGGCGAGGAGTGCCATCTACTGACCTACTTACTCCTAGGTCTCTGAGCTGGAGTTTTCCCGTGAGGTCTCCTTTCCAACAACAATAGAGAGAAGGAAATTCTAAATGTAGTAGAGTGTTTGGTTTCCTTTACAGTGGACCATGTTTAAAAAAATAAAAATAAAAAGATCCCCATGAGTCTGCTACTAAGGAATTTCCTTGTATTTGCTAACAGGACTGTATTTTAAGGTAGCCTGGTCATCTGCCTATCTTAATGTTAAAAACGAATGAAGGTAATTCTTAGGAAATACTCTGCTAGAGAGAGGCTCACTTCTTACCTATGCATTATTCTAAATTCAAAGGATATATATACCCTTCTATAAGTATTTGGTCTTTCCTAGAATGTCATGGTCCTATCCTCAAAAGGTGAAATGTTTAGTCGTATAAAATTTTACAGCTGAATGGGTATCTGGACATTATCTTGCTCACCTCTCTCATTTCATCTCATTTTTTTTTTTTTTTGAGGCCCTAAAATGTTAAATGAAAGGACTAGCACCTGAACTTAGGTTTCTGAGCTCAATCAGGGCTCTTTCCACTACAAATTAAAAGTGGACTTATTTTAAAATTTTCTTTGTGTTATGGAATATGAAAGACTTTTGAATGGAACTGTGATGTGTGTGTGTGTGTGTGTGTGTGTGTGTGTGTGTGTGTAAGCAGAGAATAAAGAGCAACAGAAATATGAAATTTCTTAAATATGCTTTATGTGGTATTTTCTTCCTTAATATTAGTTTTATATTACAACAACTTACTTAATAATGAGGTCCTAACGAAAAAGAAAAATTACTTTGCTTTTTATGTTTATACTAGAGGCCCAGTACACAGATTTGTGCACTTGGCAGGGGGTCAGCCCAGCCTGCACCCTCTCACAGTCAGAAGACCTCAGGGGATGTCCGACTGCCGGCTTAGGCCCACTCCCCAGGGAATGGGCCTAAGCTGGCAGTTTGGACATCCTTAGTGCTTCTGTAGAGGTAGGAGAAACTCCTGCTGCTGCGCTCGCCAGTCATGAGCCCACCTTCTGGCTGAGCAGTGCTCCCCCTGTGGGAGTACACTCACCTCCAGGAGGCAGCTCCTGTGTTGAACATCTGTCCCCTGATGGTCAGTGTGCCTCATAGCAATTGGTTGTCCCACCGTTCGGCCAATTTGCATATTAGACTTTTATTATATAGGATGCATTTGTTAACATTCAACAATAAATTCAGAGGGTTTTAGCCATTTTAAGCAAGAGCAATTTAAAAATATTTTCTTTATAATCATCAATTTTGCAGATTCTAAGAAATCAACTGTATTTAATAATATTTTGGTTTTTCTTAATTAGAAACCTAGCTTTCCAGGAAAGCTTATGGACACTATGCAAAACTACTGTACATAGTGTATGCTGTAATTAATTCACGTGAAAGGAGAGGCACCTGGTATTTTATCATGGGTAAAGACATCATTTCTTAAAACACAGAAGCTAGTTCTGGCTTTTTATTTCTTGAGTTGGAGGATCCCAAGTTGGAAACACGCCAGTGTCACTGATGACCTTCTTTATTTCCAAAGCTGCATCAAGTTAGTGAATATGAGTAATTTTTTTTAAATCCTCACCAAAGAGTATTTAGTTTGAGAGAGAGAGAGAGAGAGAGGAGGGGAAGGGAGGGGAGGGGAGGGAAGGGGAGGGGGGAGGGGAGGGGAGGGGAGGGGAGGGGAGGGGAGGGGAGGGGAGGGGAGGGGAGGGGAGAAGAGAAGAGAAGAGAAGAGAAGAGAAGAGAAGAGAAGAGAAGAGAAGAGAAGAGAAGAGAAGAGAAGAGAAGAGAAGAGAAGAGAAGAGAAGACATCTATCAGTTGCCTGCCTCCCATACATGCCCTGACCATACATGCCCTGACCAGGGATCAAAACCACACCCTGGTATATGCCCTGACTGGGAATTGAACCTTCAACTTTTTGGTGTCTAGGACAATACTCCAACCAACCAAGCCCCCCGCCAAGGCAATATGAATAATATTTAGAATATGAAAGTCAGGTACTAAAAAGGGCATTTGGAATTTTGTTTTATTATCTCTAGCATATGGAGCACTGGTAGGTAGTCATGCTGAAGCTGCAGAATGAACAAAACAAAAAAAACTCCTTGCCCGAGGGAACTATAATTCAGTAGGACTCAGCTGCTGTACATGTGTGTGTGCTGTCACAGAGCAGCGGCCTTGGAAGCTTAGATCAATTTCCTTATTGTCAACTTAAAAAAAAAAACAAACAAAAAAAAACACCTCTATTGCCCTGACACAGCATTTTAGATGTAAATAATTCATTTTCCAAGAAAAAGTAATATTAGAACAGAAGAAAGAAATGTATAGAGGAGAAATGCTATTTGGGAAATGATGTTATCCTGTGACATTTCATCCATAAGTGCTTTTGTTCGGGTGGCTGGTTAACTAAGAAGTGCTTTAAATCACATTTAACAGTGTTCTCTTGGATCCCTAGATTCTTGAAGTGAAAAGTCCAATAAAGCAAAGCAAATCAGATAAGCAAATAAAGAATGGCGAATGTGACAAGGTAGGTTTCCAGCGCGTTCTCCGAGGGCCACAGCTCTGCACGTCCTGTTACTTTGTGTTTTCCTCGATCTTCCCTGCTGGTCCGCCTCTCATTGTCTTCATCAGAAGTGCCCTAGAGTAGTTCACTTTTTAAAAATTTTATTTTTTAAGTTTATTTCAACTATTTTTTTAACTTAATTTTTTAATTGTTATCACTATTTCCCACCCAGCCCCTCCTCCCCCTTGAGAGTAGCTTCTTTCCAAATCTTCCTGCTATCTCCAGTGTTAAGGTTGGCCTTGAGCTTCCTTTTGCCCTGATCCTACATTGTCTGGGGGTTCCAGGCCCATTGGACTGGGAGGTAGGAGATTTGTGGCGGAGGTAGAAGGTGAAAAAAGCTCAGACGTGGGTGAGAAGGACCTCTGAGCCTCGTGTAGTGTGCGGTGTGCTTTCCCCAAGTGCACATCACACATCTGAAATCTGACTGCAGGACCTGCTGGGGCTGGTCTCCCATTGTGGGCAGGGTCCTAACGTGCTCTGCAGGGTCAAGACAGGCCTGGCTGATGCTTCTCGGACCTTTCCTTCACCTCCATTGCAAATGGTGGTAGGAACACCCAATGCAGCTATGCTAACAGAGACGATGTGTCTGAGCATCTGGAAGGAGAGGTCACCTCTGCTTTTCCAAGGAGCTCTGGACAATCCCCATGCTCATTGGATAGTGATTTATATTTTTCATAGACATTCTTCTGTGCTTTCACTTGCTATTCACCAGCAGTGTTGGATATAACTGGGCAGGCTTTTTTATATTGTTAATTTAAGGATTTGCCCTGACATAAATGGTAACGTGCATGGGTCCTTCCATGTTCAGACTTAGACTTTTTCTTTTAGTTAAGAAGCTTCTAAGATAACAGTGTGTGGTTTTTTTTTAATTGAAAGTGGACTGCTAACTCGCAGCGTATCACCGAGTTCCCCTTCTCTCTGTAGAGGCATTGCTGTGAATATAGGAAGTCTTGGGTTACGTCGGACTCGACGTACATCATTTCGTGGTTATGTCGCCATCTCCCATTTATTTATGTAAGAAAAAAAAAAGTTCCGTCATTTCGACGTATATACATATGTGCTTTATGGTTTTTTTATTATTTATTTACCACAAGTAAAGGCCAGGAATTGCTATCTTTCTTTTAATTTTTTCTTACTGTGTCACTTCATTACTGCTGTGCATGTGCTCCATGTGAGTGACATAGGTGCTTATGTGGGTTCCGACCTACAGTGAAAATCGCGTTACGTCGTATTGTAGGAACGGATCTTTGACGTAACCTGAGGACAGGTGAGGCTGTTCACTGAATCTCATGGAGAGAATACAAGTGCAAGAATTGTTCCTTTTAAAAGAGCTGGTTTGAAAACAATAATAGTTGGCCAAGAAGGAAAGACTTGGTCTGCAAAGGCCTTGGGCACGGAGCCCATACAGCCTGGGCGGTGGCGGACTGGGAACCTCTAGTCTGTTCTTACTGATCTGCTCTCTCCTTTTTGAACTGCTTCCTAACATGCGTGTTCTTTGGGGGTCCTCTTCTTTTACAGGCATACCTCGATGAGCTGGTAGAGCTTCACAGAAGGTTAATGACGTTGAGGGAAAGACACATTTTGCAGCAGGTGAGAACTGCTTTTTGGTGCAACCCTTTCCGGAAGCCTTCAGGCCTGGTTTGCCCTGGCTCATTGCAATGGCATCCGGAGGCCACGCCGGCCCCATGCTCTCAGAACCGGGTCAGTGCCACCTGCAGAAGTACAGTTGACCCTTGAGCAACCCCAGTTTGAGCTGCACCGCTTCACTCACATGGGGATATTTTTCCATGAATATACAGTCGGCCCTTCTGATCCACCAGCTGTAGATCAAAGACCACATTTTCGATCTGCAGTTGGGAATCTGCATATGCGGAGGGCTGATTGAATGCAGGGTTCTACCCTATTTTATAGGAGGGACTTGAGCACCTGAGGATTTAAGTGTCCACAGGGATTACTAGATCCAAATTCCTGCAAGATACTAATGGACTGGTTAAGCTTTGGGGGAGACTCATGTTATATGTGGATATTCAACTGTGTGTCGGGGGGGGGGGGGGTACCTCTGGCCCCTGCACTGTTCAAGGGTCAACTGTATTTTGGGAGGGTGCTCACTTCTGAGGCCACCCGGATGTCTGCTTTGGAGCTTTGCAGTGATGCTCTCCCCTCCCTGGTGCTGTGGGCAGTGAGGACAGGGCATGTGTAGAGGGGTTGTGGCTGGCGTGCACTGACCCCTCAGCAGGCTGATGCTGTGCTGTGGGCTGACGGAGAGGAGAGGAGGGATGCAGAAACCTGTGAGGCCAGGCTCCTGGTTTCATGCGAAAACAGTGATAAGGACTTCAGTCAAGTGTTGTAAACATTGGTGATTCAATTTAGTAACGTTTTGCTAATGCTGTTCTAAGGAAAATAAATATTTCCCTCATTTCTCTTATCTTGTACAACAATACATTCTATGATTATGAACTCAGCTGTGGGATACTTGTAGCGTGAGGAGACTTCTATTAGTACAATTTGATGTGTTGAGAAGATAAAATGGGTGGTTTTCGGTTTTCTTGCAGTTACGTGTGTGTGTCCCTTGCACAAACAGTGACTGTTGATAAAGTATTTTTTTCTTTAACACCCAAAGAGAGAGTGGTGTTCTGAATTCCAGGGTGGGTTTTAGATTATTTCACTGTTTAATTTTTTTTTTCTTACCACTTTTCAAATGACTTGAATTTAGTACTTAATCTACCCCAGCTGTGTGTGTTGGTGTGTGTGTTTTTTTAAAACGTCAAATGGCTGATGGTAACATTTATATTCTGTGTACGTTTTTGCTTAAATCTATAAATACTCTCAGACTTGCCAAGTCCCCTGATTGGTCTGATAAGCTTTTAACCTTTCTAGAGTTTCAGATTTGAACAAAAGACTACAGATCCTAGGATTTTTAATTGGGTCTAAGTTGCATTTCCATTTCAGTGAGTGTGGATAGGGGAGCAGGAGTTCAATGGCTTATCCTGAGACTTGGCTAATATTTTTCTCGGGCTCTCTTCTGTAGAACGGACAATTGTTCAGCCTGCCATTTACCGGTTATTTGGGGCTAATCGACTGAATGGTGATGGCAACTCTATTAGCTGATTTCCCTGTCCCTTCCCAAGTGCCAGCTCTGAACCACTGCACGGCAGTTGTCTAATAAAGTTATTAATGTGCCAGCGAGGCCCCGATGGTGGGTCTCTTGGGAGAGTGAGACAGATGCTGGACAGCGCTGGGCCACCTTTACAAAGGAAGCCCAGCCACGCATTGAGGATACCAGGCCGTTGGGGTGTCATTGGCCTTCCCACTTTCACATTGTCCTTTACTTTGACCTTTGAGAGAATTCTGAGGGAAGACGGCTTGTGTGAGACTTGCCTCGAAGTGGGTGATTTTAGTGTTCCAGAGAGAGGGCGAGCGATCTCTATGAATTTTTAACCTGGAGGAAAGGCACTCAGGGGCGCCCAGCGTTTCACCCTAATTGCATTCCCAGGCTGCCTGGAAGCCTGCAGTCTCTGGCCTTTTGCCTTGCAGTGCAGCTGAGGCTTGTGATTATGATACCATGATGCATGTCCTGTCACGGTTTACTGCTTAATTAATTCCTATTGTGAAACCGAGGGCACGGAGGACTACGCTGCTCTCCACCTTGAGAGCCGCTCACGCTGTGGGACGTGTTCCAAAGGCGACGTGTTCTCCGCCACGCGGGCCGGACGCCTGCGACCGTTTCCAAGGCACCCAGGTCGCATCCTACGACTTTCCTACTAAACACATGGAATCCACTCGGTCACTGCTGTTTGGCTCCCAGGCGGTGATTAATGTCATTGTCTTAGTCCAAGGGCAAGCAGGGCTGGTGCTCAACAGCTGGTTTAAGGAACAGAAAGCTGTGCGTCAAGAGGGCTCTGTCCCTACGCCGCTTTCCCATGAGGTGCAAGACCAGGACTGGGTGAAACCCAGAGATGTCAGAGACAGCCCTGACTGATAATTGGGTTCTTCCTTAAACCACGCGCTGGGCATTTATTTGGGAACGGAGACTGAGCACTTCCAAAACTCCTCCAGCAGCTCAGCTCTGAGCCTGGATTTGCATCCCACAAGGCAGGAATAAAGCTCCGAGGAAAGCCAGGGCTTCCTTAGAAGACAGTTCAGATAACAGCTATTGCACTTAGAGAAATAACTCCCGGGGTATGGGAATGAGCGAGGCAGCGAGTGTTCCCCCCAACAACTGGAGAGCCCTCGCTGGGAAAGCTCTGCTGGAAAGGATTCCTCTCCCTCCCTGGGAATCGCCTGAAGGACCCCCTGCAGATTGGAGGCTGGAGGCCTGCCTCTTAGGGGCCAAGGTAAGACACCACTCGAGGCAGAGGCAGGTAAAGCCAAGTCTGTTTACTTCTTCCCACTCAGTCAAGAGGCTGCTTTGGGTAGAAAGAACTTCGCTTAAAAAAAAAATATAGAATCAGACGAAGCATAATGCCTCTACCTTTTTATAATGAAGAACCAGGGTTTGGGGAAAGGAGTCACCAATTTAACAAGTGGATCTTCCCTGATTAAAAAACAAACAAAACACAACAAAACAAAAACCAGCCAGTGTGGTACCCCCTAAAGGCTGACATGGCAGGAAGTAATCCATCACCAGTGTTTTCACAACAACCGTCATCTGAGGAATGAGTTAAGCAGTTTACATAAGCATCCACTTCCCAGTCGTACCCCCGTGCCCTGGCCTGCTTTCTTATCAGTGGTCACTCTCTCTCTTTTTATTATCATTATTTGGGGAGACATTTATTATTGAGGCGTGACGCAGGGCACTGACACCAAGGTGGCCACCTGCACCAGCAGAGCAGGGGATTCTGATGGGAAGGCAGAGTGGTACCCTCGGGGACGACCAGGGTGGTGTTAGGCTTGTGGATGGTGTCATTGGAGTAACGCGGGTGGATGCCGTGTTTCTGACGTTCTATCAGGATTTCAGGAAAGGAGCCCACAGGTATATTTTGCATATGAAGTCTTTACTTAATTGAGGATGTGGGTACGTGCTCTAATAATTCAGATCATTAATGCCATTCCCTTTGTCAAATAGTTCCGACACTCCAACTGCCACCACTCCTTCTGCTTTTAGGCCATCTCTGCATCTGCCTTGATGTATTTCTTCTAGGCTCCCATAAAAACGTGGGCTCCTTTAGTGAGAGTGATCAGTTCCCCTTCATATCTTTGTGTGTTTATGGCTGCAGGCGGGTGGGATGTGCTGGTTCTGGAGGATGTAGAAGGACAGTGATGGAAGCCATGGAAACTTTTGAGATATTCCAATACCTGTGAGATTACTAAGCTGAGTTTCCAGTGGGCAAAAGTGTTTAGTTGCTTTAAAATCAAGTGAATTTTTCTAAAAGGTATTTTTCTCTGTTTTCTATTTATGAAGTAATTAGTAAACAGCTATATTGAGTCACAGAGAACTATTTTATTTAAAAAATTTTTTAAATTTATTTTGGAGAGAGAGAGGAAGAAAGAAGCATCGATTGGCTGCCTCCTGCAAGCCCCCTCCTGGGGATCAAGCCCACAACCGGGCATGTGCCCTGACTTGGAATTGAACCAGGGACCTCGGGATGCATGGAAGGATACCAACTGGGCCATACCAGCCAGGGGAAAGCTATTTTCTTAAAATTAGTTTTTTAAGGTTCTTGTCATTTTCAAGGGACTTCCTTACCCCTTCCTTTTAGCTTGTCATTCAGCTAATTTCCTTCACTTTCCATTCTCCCTGCTTTCTTCCCTTTCCCTGCAAAGTTTTCTTGTATTTTTTTTAAAAATCTAAGTATGTATTCTCTGAGTTTTAGCTTTTCGCATTTTTCCTGCCTCATTTTTTTTAGTGCTAATGGGATGGCTAACAGTCAATGAGAAGAATCGGAAAAACAAAACAAAACACTGGGTCTGGTGATTCATGTGCCATGTAGTGACTTCCAGAATTAAGGAAAAGTTTATATTTATGTGGCAGTCATAATCATGCTGCCCTGGTCTGTGTAGCAATTCACACTTCACACAGAAGCTTCACTTGCCATATCTCATTTGATCCTCTGCACAACCCTGTGTGCTGGTAGGTCCGCTGGCATTGTCCTCATCTTACAGGTGAGGAAACTGAGGCTCAGAGGTGATAATGCCCCGTCTATTGCCATTCAAGTAGTGAGCAAAGCCAGAACTCAATATTCCAAAATCAGGAGACTCTATTCTAAATGCTTTGCTGCTTACCTACTGGCCTGCTAGGTGGGGAGATGAGTCACACTCTGGAATCATTGTCATTTGCCTCCATTGAAAGTCAATTTGTTTCTATGGAAGTTTACACATTTTCACCAACACAATGGAGCATAATGGATAATCTGCTCGGGAAGGTACTCTTAAACCAATCCATGTTAAATATATACTAAGTATTTGATTGCCTTGAAAGGTGTGTGTGGACATAGCTGGGTGTGTGTCTATGTTTGTTTATAGATGTGTATGTGTGTGACTTATCCAAAGTTCTATAACTATTGCAAAAACGATGGGTGTGTGTGTTTTTTTTTTTTTATCTTCTAGTGTAATAAGATTTTGCTTGATAAATTCTTATGTGAATATAGTAGTTTAACCATAATTGGGAATACCCCTTTTAATAATCTCTTGATGCATGTAATAGAACCAGTGGTTTAAGCAAGTAAGGCTCCCTCTGCACCTCAACCCCATAATAGCAGCTCTGGACGTAAGTAATTTATGGTCAATGTGGAGGCTTAAAAGATGCCGCTGAGGATGCGGGCTCCTTGCCATCCTGCTCAGACATCCTTCACATCTTGCATTCCTCCTCTTGAGGGAACAGAGCCACTGCACTTCCAGGATTGCGTCTTCATTCGACAGGCAGAGAGGGCAGAGGCCATACTCTTTCCTGAAAATTTCCTGAAAGCCCGGTGATTTCTGAACAACATTTAAATAGCAGTACCTGCCAAGTGCCTGTGGGGGGGGGCGGGGGGGAGACGCGAGGGGGGAAGAGAGAGACCAGGTGTTGTAGCTGGGTGTGTCGCCACTCCCAGGAAATCAAGCTTCTGTAAGTAAAGAAGGGAGTCGGTGGGCAGTTTGCTGTGTACGTCATGGGTTTGCAATGGGAGAAACTTGTTTTATTATTAAGCCAATAGTTATATCTGTAAAAATAGTTTCAGAGCTTGAATAAGGCAATCACAGTCAGGTCTGGAGTTGTGTAGCAATTGGAGGAGGCTCGATAGGTCTTTCTGAAGGTTGGAGCCAATGCAATGAGAAATGAGGTATAACTATTCCAAAGGGGAGACAAAGGCATCCTTTCTTTCTTTCGTTAATACTGATCAGCACCCCCCCCCCCCAAATTCAAGTGAATCAACAAGCATGGCTATAAGTAATAAATATAGACGTTTATTCATTTTTTTTTTAAATATATTTTATTGATTTTGTACAGAGAGGAAGGGAGAGAGATAGAGAGTTAGAAACATCAATGAGAGAGAGTCATCGATCAGCTGCCTCCTGCACACCCCCCACTGGAGATGTGCCCGCAACCAAGGTACGTGCCCTTGACCGGAATCGAACCCGGGTCCCTTCAGTCCCCAAGCCGACGCTCTATCCATTGAGCCAAACCGGTCCCGGCCGTTTATTCATTTTTATTGAAATATAACAAAATGTACAGCCATGTGAATTTTAACAAAGAGAGTGCATGTTTTATAACCAGCACCCAAACCAATAAAAAAAAAAACAGTCCCAGAAGGCTCCATAAGCTTCCTTCCAGTCACTCCAAACCCCTGATCTTCAGGGGAAGAATTGTAGATGGCTTCAATTTTTTTCTTTGTGGGTTCTTGTAATCTTTTTTAAGTTCAGCAGTAATGTTATCAGAAACAAAAATGTTCATTGTATATATGTGTGTATAGTTTTTATTTTATTTTTATTGAATTTAGAAAGAGGGAGAGAGAGAGAGAGAGAGAGAGAGAGAGAGAGAGAGAGAGAGAGAGAGAGAGAGAGAGAGAGAAAGAAAGAAACATCTATGGGTTGTCTCCCAACCAAGGATCAAACCCACAACCTGGATATGTGCACTGACCAAAAATAGAACCCTAGACCTTTTGGTGTTCTGGATAATGCTCCAAACAACTGAGCCACACAGGCCAAGGCTGTAGCCTTTTTTTTTTTTTTTTTTTTTTTTTTTTTTAATAATAAGGAGTTTTGTTATTTCTAGGCTGGACTTTCCATACATCTAGTAGTACAATCACTGTTCATTGAATCAGTTACTAATTTTTAAAGGGCCTTTAAATTCTATCTCCCCCATCACAACCCACTCCTATTCCCTACAGTAAAATAGTCTGCTGATTACTTGAAAGTATGAATCAATTTAAAGGACATGAGTGATGAAAACTGGTAATATGCTCTCAGAATTTCAAGGGGTTAATATTCCTTTGGCTTAAAAGACACTTTGGTGCCATTAACAGTATAGGACCTTCTTTCTGTATTTGTCAAATGTTCCATATTGACCCCCTCCACTTCTCTCTCTCTCTCTGCCTTTTAATGTCCATTTCTTATTGCCCAAACTTTTCTTCTTTATTCCTCTAGATTGTGAACCTTATAGAAGAAACTGGACACTTTCACATCACAAACACAACATTTGATTTTGACCTTTGCTCGCTGGACAAAACCACAGTTCGTAAACTACAGAGTTACCTGGAAACATCTGGAACATCCTGAGGATACAACTGGATGCATCAAAAACTTGTTTTTTTTGGTTTTTTTTTTTTTTTGGTTGTGATGTTTTTTTGTTGTTGTTTATAAGAAAACACTCAGAATGATGCAACCAAAAGGGAAAAAATAAAAATCAAACAACTTTCAGCTTTATTTTTCTTTAAAGCCAGTCATCATCTCTTGATAAAGGAGAGGTTAAGCAAACCAGCCTCAGCGGACCACTCTTCTCTCCAAGGACATGCCCGGGAAGAGTTTGCCTGGATAGCCTTGAAAACAAACAAATCAAACACAACACAAGAAAACTTAAAGAATGTGTATGGTATCATGTATCTCTCTCTGTGGTGGTTCATCCCACAGGACGAATGCATATTCAACACACTGCCTTATTATATAACTGATCTATTTATTATCGCATACAGATATCCTAAAGCCGTTGAGGGAATGACACCACAAGACATCACAAGTACTTGGTCCCATGGATGCTCTTTCAATGCAGCGCCCTTGCCATCCCAAGCCCAGTGACCTTACTCGTATACCGTGCCACTTTCCAGCAACGTTTTCCAACTCCTTTAACTCGTTGCAGTCTGTATTTTTCACCTTTTGTCTTTCCAGTTCCAGGACACAAACGATCAACTGCGGGGGGAAGGGGGGGGGACCAAATAGCCACCCTGATTTTCTTCTTTGCGGTCTTTTTCCTGAAAGTTGGGGCCCAGTCCTTGGCTGTATCCACACAATGATCTTGGACCATGGTAGAAAAAGCACCAAATAGGATCATGACTTGCTGTCTAGCCTTAGTCAATAAACCTGTAGGACTTTTAAACAAAAGTGTACATGTAAACGTCCTGCATCCAGCCTTGTTGAGCTGTCATATCAACATTTTGTGTGTCTGTTTTACTGTCGTGATATTAGAGGGATATGGAAGTAAAGGCATTCCACAGGTTCATCATTTTTAAAAGAGGAACTCTGGTTCTGTTTTCTAAAGAAATGTTGTAGAAATTCTTAATTTGGATCTATTTATTAGTAAGAGTTTCGGCTTTCTTCAGCTGCCAGTGTGTTCTTCATCTTTACCACAAAACCTGGAATAAGAGACTTTTTGTTTGTTCTCCTGTGATTCCCCTTAGACTCTTTTGTATTTGGAAAATTAAAATCTTCCTTTGGGGGAAATTCTTGGTTATTCTGCCATAACAGATTATGTATGAACTTGTAGATTCAGTGTTTTGATACCTGTTTAGTCACTTGCTTATGTTTCCAGAAGGATTTCTTGTATTGGTGAGAATAAAGACGGTCGGGGAGGGGGGATATTTTTGTTCTTGATGTACCCTGTTTTGAAACTAGAAATCTGTCCTGTGGCATGCAAAAGAAAGCAAATTATTTTTAAAGAAAAAAAAAGTACTTTTGGTGTCATTATTCCATCCTCTCCATAAGTGGAGAAATGCAAAGTGAGAAACAGCTCATCTTTCTAGAAACTCAACTGGGAAGAAAAGAAATGAAGAAATACTTCTGGATCCAAAGGTTCCCTCCCGGGCTCAGCCTTAAGGACGTCCCTATGTGCTCACAGACCAGTGTCTCCCTTGTTTATTCCCCATGCCAGATGCTGTCCTTTCAACCAGAGATTAACTAGTGTCTGTACAGAAAATGGTCTTTCCAGACCCATTCTTTTGGACAGTCATTTGAATGCAGATTGGATAATTGGGTTATTTCTGCATTTTAAAAGGGGAATTTTTAAATGTTTCTTTGTATCCAAAGACACTCTTTTTCCTTTTAAAAAGTAATACAGCCATGCTTCTTAGCAGTGACTTCTCTGAGGCGTCCTCCCTGGGCAGAATGTACATTTTCAACAACATTGTGATTTTTGATGTTTGGCGTGAGCCATCCTCAAAGCATTTGTTGTCTAGTCCACTCCTCAGTATTTAGGAGAAACTTTGAGTTGTCTCAGACATTAGGTGACTGACCAATTCCGTGGTTTTAGTTGTGTTTTGTTTTGAACCTCACAGGTAAAAGGGGAAGACAATGCTTATATAGAATTATTTGCAAAATTTAAATCTCTTTTTAAAGCTTCTAACTGCTAGTCTACATATTCTAATTAGGCCAGAAATATATGTGGTTTAACTAAAGTATCTGTGTAGTCTAACCAGGAATGTACATATGTAGTTTGGGCCATTTTTTAATTTTTGTAACTAAATTGTGTAACAAAAACGATGATTTGGCAATGCAAATATATTTTTGTTCCTTAGGTTACTCACCAATACACCAGGCAACATAAGTGACCAAACAAACAAACAAAGTTAAGAAGAGACAGCATTACAATGATAAAATTGAGATATAAAGTTTAGATAATAAAGCGAACATCATCGAGATGTAAGTTTATAACTGATAACAAAAGTTGGAAAAATCTACCCACCATCTACAACTCATGGAGAAAGCAAAATGAGTTTCCCACGAAATCCCAGTAATGTAAGAGTTAGATTGTTAATTTTTTAGATTCTTGCTCTATCTGATTTATAAATGCAGAAATAATAAATCCCTTTTCAATTCATTTCAGATACTTATATTTCTCTTCAAGTAACCCACTCAGTGCTGCCACATGTATGTACACGTGCCTTTGAAACCTATTAAACATGCTTTTGGCATACGTGTATCCTAACAGTGGTGTTGGTTTCTTAAGCACAAAAGAAAAATGGCAGGGCTTACTTTCTTTAGTGTATATATAGTACATATATATAAAGAGATGTTTCAAATAAAATTAATTGGGTGAGTGTGAATGTGGTTTGAGCCATACAGAATATGATAAACTTTAAATTTCCCCCCAGTAATTTGAGGTGGGGGAGAAGTGTATGTACAGGACTTTTCCCCTAAAAATTAGCTTTTGCCTCTGATTTTGTAGCAAAATATGTAAGAGAGTGGTGCTTCTGTCTTGGCATATGGCCGTCATGACAGCTACAACAATGTTTGCAGTGACTTTTCTTTACCGTAATCCACCTATCTATATAGACAGCTAGGTATGCCTATATGTGCTTGCATATTGTGTCAAAGTAGGGAAAAGCATGAAAACGTAGTATCGGGACACTAGAAGAAAAAAATTATAAAAGAGTGTCCTAAACATTGTAAAATTACTGAGCAAATCTCATCAGAATAATTATACATCTTTTTGTAGAAAGAGCCAATCCATTTGGTTTTCTTCCACCAGAAATGTTTCTGCATATTCCTTCGACAGACTCAGCTAACCTTCATAAAAGACAGTTCAGACCTGCATAACATTCCAAGCCCTATACGTGTTAACGAGGTAACATATACGTGTTTAAGAGAGACTTTATTCTTTAATGTTTTAACTCTGCCTAGATAACGGAGTTGGATGTTCAGTGTTGGAAATGGTCAGTATTTGTGTTGGTGGCTGGTGTTCACTTTTCTCCCTGTGGATGTGATCAGCTCTGGAGTGGTTTTCTGTATGCTCATTACTGTCCTCCCTTAGCATTGTGTGTATTCATGTGCTGTACTGCATACACCCACAGATGCACATGCATGTTAAAAACTTGCTGTGGACTGTTGCCCTAAAGCTGACTGTGATCTAGAGTCTACTACAGCTGCAATGAATGTACAAGAGTCGATCCCCACGGTTTAGTCTTCAGCTGGAAGTCTGCATCTTTTGACCTCTTGTTTTATATGATGCTTTTTATCATGTGGGCACTGCCATCCCTGAATATTCCTTATTAAGATGCATCGAAGAAGTCAATTTCAGAGGAAGACAAAGCCACCACTGTCTGTAAACTGTAAATATGTATGTTGGCACTTCTATTCCAATATTCTGAAAATACAGTTATGATGGAAATGCTGACAGGTCCCTAGCGGTGGCTAGAGCTACCATGCAGGGCAAAAATAAATTAAGTAAAAATGGATTCTTGTGATTAATAGTGCAAGGCCAATACATTTTATAAATCTGTCAGTATCTTTTTTAATAGAGTATGTATGTGTAGTAATGTTGAAAGATACCCTGTGTATGTGTGTGCAGATTCTGTTATGTGAACGCCAAGGCATTCATAATATGTATTTCCCATTGCTAAAACCCATGGTGAAATGTATGTACATACAGATGGACAGAAATGGGTGTTTTACTTAAATTCATATCTATTCTGGCTCCATTTTCTTTAGAATGTATAGTCTTAGTGATCTGTGAAGAGACATTTGTCCAAAGTTTGGTTTTGCTTTGCATACAGAAAAATGAGCCTCTACCCTGTTTCAAGAAAGATGCTGGAAGAAGGGATGCAGAGACCAGACCAGTCAGGGACCGCCAGTGCTCGAATCCCCGTGTCTGAGCACCATGTTCTGTGTCCTAAAACCAGTACGTTGTTTAAGGGCCACAGCGCTGGGCAAAAAGTGGTGGCACCCATTCTCGGAATAAATCATGTTCCTTGTGCATGATATTTTTTCTTTTCCCTTATTTATCTGGAAGGTTTTGTTCATAAACAAAACAACCTGCTATCGCTGGACCGAGTCAGACAAAAGGCCCTGCGTTGACTTTAGCAGCAAGAAACACTGCCTTCACTAGACAGGAAGGAGAAAAGCTATACTTCCACAAAGAGAATAGAATACATTGAGTTTGGCAGATAACCAGGGAATTGGGTGTAAGGCTCTTTTTTATAATAAAGAGACATCAAATTTGAGAAACTGTTATCTTCAGGCTGACAGCCATGGAGAAGATAAGAGTGGACTGCCCTGTCTCTTATCACTTAGCACCTGATCTTAGGTGTGGACGCCTCAGTCCCAGATGGGCTTGGCTGACAGTTAAGCTTCCTACCGACCAGGCTTGAAGTGGAAGCATCTCTCCCCTTGTGTTCTTTTTTGTTTTTGCATCTTCTCCAGCCTGGAGAAACTCAAGATGGGTATCTGGGACCTGTGGACTCAGGATGTTGTGGGCCACAGTCTCTCCCAATACACTGGTCCCTCTGCCTCTTGGGACTGTGTTCCCACTTGGGTAGGCAGTGGGCCCCGAAGGAAATGGCAGCTTCCCT